TGGGTTTTTACAATAGAGGTCTCATACAAATTTGTCCTTTTGTGATTGACTTATTTCACTCAGCATAATGTCCTCCAGTTTTATCCATGTTATGAGATGCTTCACAGATTCATCATTGTTCTTTATCGTTGCATAGTACTCCATTGTGTGTATGTACCATAGTTTGTTTATCCATTCATCTGTTGATGGGCATCTAGGTTGACTTGGCCTGAATTCTAATTCTCCTCTAGGCCTCCATAACAAGCACACGCTTTTATATAACATGGCTTACAAATAGGAAACATAAAAGAAGTGATTTAGATGAATCATACCCCTCTGAAGAATAAATGGGACAAAATACCAAAGAAGACTTGATACTTTCGTCAGAAGTCTAATTATCAATAAGATCTTTTCCACTGATAAAATAGAGAAAATGACCATTCTAAAAAGACAAATGCTTCTCAACATCTATGATAAAAATAACTTAAGTTCATATCGTAGTTTCCATCTTAAAGGTGTTTTCAGATACATTACTTCACTTGAATTTTTACGACAACTTCATAGATGGGCAAAAGGAATATTTTACCTCCATTCCACAGATTAAGAAACTTCCCTCTCAGAGGTTACATGACTTTTAACCAAGATCTCAAAGCTTATTTTTATAGTGTATGGCTTAAACAAGACCTTGGGTATTCTGACATTAGTTGCAGTGTTCTCGATATCCTTCTACTCAAAGTGTGGGCCTCAGACAAGTAGCATCACTTGGGAGTGATTCATATGCACATTAAAGCCTGAAATACATTGCTCCATAAAGCATTATGGTGTCTATGAGAATAACTCTACTTTTGGATTTGGAGCTAAAATTTTTTCTTACCTATGCAGCCTTCCTCATCCACATAGGTTTTAGATTTCAGTACACGCTTTCGTTTTCTCTTGTTTTCTCCACTTGAGCCCTAAAAGATCAGAAGATCAACATTAAGGTGACCAACTAAGCTACAGAAAAAAATAACAAAAGCTTTTTTTAATCTATAACAATTACCTTCCAATATTCCATTTTGATAAAAAGTTGAAAGAGAACCTCTATACATTTCCTTTTAAGGGCCCAGCCCTACTACACAGACTAGTTACGTTCACTGTATGTGCAGGCTTGATATTTCATTGTTTATGAGAAGGAAGGTAGCATGCTGAACAATGAACTATGTTCACTGAGTCAACAAACTTTTGCTGGGTGGTTCAGGCACCATAGTTAAAAAGACAAATAGGACACAGTCCTTACAGTCTAGTGGAGGAAAGAGACAAGGAAAACAGACCACTGTGATACACTGTACTAACTGCTTTGATGTAGTACTGCAGCAGATATTATGGCAGCACACAGGGACAGCCTCAAAACCAGACCAGGTTTCTACAGCATATTCCCTTGCTTTAGGCACTTAAACCTCAGCCTTGACACTTCAACATTACACCCATCTAATTTAGTCTCAAGGAGCCCTAGTGGCACAGTGATTAAATGCTTGGCTGTTAACCAAAAGGTCAGTGGTTCGAACCTACCAACTGCTCTGCAGGAGAAAGATGTGGCAGTCTGCTTCTGTAAAGATTACAGCCTTGGAAACCCTATGGGGCAGTTCTACTGACCTATAGGGTCGCTATCAGTTGGGATTAACTCAATGGCAATGGGTTTGTTGTTGTGGTAACTCTTTTTAACATTTTGAGGAACTGACAAATTGTTCTCCAAAGTTGCTGTAACCATTTTATACTCCCACCAGCGAAGTAGGACGGTTCTAATTTCTCCATGTCTTTGCCAGCCCTTTTTATTATCTTTTATTTTAGCCATTCTAATGGGTGTGATATGGCATCTCACTGTGGTTCTGATTTGTATTTTCTTAATGACTAATGATGTTGAGCATCTCTTCATATGCTTATTGGGGCAAGTGGTGGTGGGGGGCGAGATTTAGTCTCAGACCAAAAAACCAAACCAGTTGCCATCAAGTCAGATTCTGATTCATAGCGACCCTACAGGACACAGTAGAACTGCCTCATAGGATTTCCAAGGAGTGGCTGGTGGATTCAAACTGCTGACCTTTTGGTTAGCAGCTGAACTCTTAACCACTGTGCCACCAAGGCTCCAAGTATTACTTTATTCTAGTGTCTCTTCAGCAAATGAGGAAATCAGTGCGAGATTTAAATGACAGCTTTACTACACTGAATTAAAGAAAATTAATAGTCATAAAGAAGAAAAACTTGTCAGCATCCATTTTCTCAACTCTTCACTGTCTACAATTAATAGATGTAGACAAGATGCAACTGAGGATCATTCAAACTCTATTTCCCTGTTGGTTACCAGTTTTCCATCCAGCCCTTTTCCAGAAGAGCTTCTGAAAAGCAACAAATGTGAATGAGTTAAGTTTGCTCTACTTTATCTTTCGCTCTTTGCTTTGATACAGGCAGGACCTCTTTTTGCAAAATTCCAACAGGAGTTATGAAGCACAGCAGCCCTGATGCTGGAGGTCATGAAAATCAAAACAACCCCCAGGATCCACCTCTGCAACCTTCCTGAGACTATGCCCTACAGCTGAAATCTATACTGGGAATGCCCATTCTGTACAACCTATAGGAGAGCAGAATGAAACAAGAGCCATCTACTGGCATTTGTGAAGTATACAACAAGTGAACTGAATTAGTATACTAGTTTTAGATCCTTGGGCAATAAAGAACACTTGGAAATTCAGGCATCCCGGTTAAGTTTTACCTTGGTGGAAGGAGGCTCTGGCTCAATCTTTGGAACTGGTTCAAGAGGTGGAGAAGCCGGAGGAGGTGGGGATGGTGACTCAGCTTCATTAGTCCCAGGAGAGTCTGGTAAGACTGAAATAATTAAACAAGTCTTAGATAAAAGAACTACATGCACTATCTGGTACAGTGCCTTCTCTCCACTGGCACTCTAAACTTCCATGTCCAGCAAAGGACATTTTGCAAGCAGTAATTCATGTCAACCAAGGACTTTGCAGTTACACAGTTACCTTTAAAATACACACTTTATTAATTTTATACAAATAAAATCAGAGAATCAAGAATTATTAGAGGGGCCACATAAACCAGATACTCCATCAGCCTGAGACCAGAAGAAGTAGATGGTGCCCAGCTACCACCAATGACCACCTTGATAGGGAACACAACAGAGAGTCCCTGATGGAGCAGGAGAAAAGTGAGGTGCAGAACTCAAATTCTGGTAAAAGACCAGACTTGATGGTCTGACTGAAGACTGGAGGAACCCCAGAAGACATGGCCCCCAGACTCTGTTAGCCCAGAACTAACACTATTCCTGGGGCCAACTCTTCAGACAAAGAATAGACTGGACTATAAGACATAAAATAATATTCGTGAAGACTGTGCTTCTTAGTTCAAGTAGATACACGAGACTAGATGGGCAGCTCCTGTCTGGAGGCGAGATGAGAAGGCAGAAGGGGATTGGAGCTGGTTGAATGGACACAGGAAATCCGGGGTAGAAAGGAGGAATGTGTGGTCACATTATAGGGATGGCAGCTAGGATCACATAACAATGTGTATATAAATTTTTGTATGAGAAACTAACTTGAGCAGTAAACTTTCACCTAAAGCACAATTTAAAAAAAAAAAAAAAAGAATTATTAGAGCTGGAATATACCTTAGATAGCATCTTAGCTAAGCTTCATCTTACTGATAAGTCAGGATATGAAGTTGTTTGATCAACATCTACTGATCACCTACCGAGTGTCATGTATTTCACTTACATTGTTTCATTTTATCCTCACAACAACCCTAAGAGGTAGATATTATCATTCACATATTAGAGTTGAGAAAACAGAGATTCCGAGACGTTAATTAACTTGCCAAGGTCACAGAACTTGTAAACCCAAGTCAGTCTGACTCCCTAGTCTTACTATTCCAATGCTACTATGCTGCTTTATCATGAAGTAAATTTTTAAGACTTTTTTTTCTCAAGATCAACTAAATGGAGATAATCAACAGATTATACCAAATGCTTTATGCTAGTGCCTTTGTGAATGTTTTCTGAGGTCTATTTGCAATCACCTGAGATGTTAGACTGAAAATTTGCAGCTAATGTTAACAGCATAAGCTTTTGGTGGGGGGGATTACCTTTGAAATGATGATCACAATTAAAGCTCTAACAACTAAGATTTACATAATATTTTATATAGAAGTTTCTTTGACTGATTGCCCCACTGATGAGGCTTGTTCTGCTACACTGAAATTTGCAAAGGACACTTTTAGGGAAGAAATATTGCTATGTAAATAGTATCATCTGAGAAGAGGGCATCATCAGATGGATCCCCATCATTTCTGAATACAGGAAGTCCCAGGTCACAAACGTCTGACTTAGGTACAACCCGTAGTTATGAACCAATGCCCATAAAGCCTGTTATATTAAAAATTCGAGGTACATAAACAATGATTCATAATAAAAACGGGTGCTACTCTGCAATGTGTACCAAAACATTATTATTATTACTGCATTATTATGTTAAAGATGTTTTTAGTGTATCTGAAAGTGTTTCTTTAATGTTTTTTATACATAGAAAGATACACTATATACTATATACTAAGACAAACATTTGAATAACCGACGAACCGCACCTGTTTTGACTTACATACAAATTCGACTTCAAGCCAGATTTAGGAATGGAACTCGTTTGTAATCTGGAGACTACTTATAGTTTCAGAAATAGTGGTCTTAACATAAGGCCCATAAGAGGGGAAGTGAAAATCCTCAGCTGACCTATTACTTAATCACCACAATGAAACTGCTGGTCAGGGGACTGAGTAGCCCCTTAGCCTCACCTGCTCCCTGAAACGCCTAGATGTATTCAAATTCTTACCGCAAGTCTTGGATCTGAAATTTTTTCATCCGATTAGGTCAGTGTTAAAAATTATGACAGTGGAGGGTTCAAGGCCAAATGACCTAAAGAGGTGAAGCAGAACAAGAGCCAGAACAAAACAATAAATGATACACTTTGAGTATGAAATGGGCCTCAAAATTTTATAAGCTCTGGGAAACAAAAGACAGAAACATGAAAGGAAAGTGGTCCAGTTAATAACCCAGCACTGGAAGGCGAGAAGACGATGGGAGCTCAAGCAAGAGAAAAGTCAAACCACAGAACCAAGCACCTACTTTCTGAAAGGTATAGCTATTAAGAAAGCTGTGCCACGAGGGTAGATATGTTGCATGGTAGGAGGAAAGTTTATGCAGTGAGGAAGCCAAAGAAAAGGAATTCTGAGTACTCACAGTAATAAATCTAGGAGTTCTTATTTTATTTCCAGTTCTGTAACTCTTGATTAACCAAGGAAAACACTTAACTCTAGTGGCATCCTCTAAGACCCCTCTCACTGCACTTTATGCAATTGTTTATCTAGATTCCTCCTTCGGACGCTAAGCTCCATGGAGAAAGAGATACCACTACTTCCTTGGCATTGAAAACACTGTAACAATAAATCATTTGTTTAAATAAAGGAAAATAATCATTTTCCAAACTAAATTTAGAATGAGGGCTTCCAGGTCAAAGAGGACTGGGCATATACATCCTTCTCCCTCCCACGTCCCTCTCCCTTCCACACTCCTCCCCGCAAAAGAAGCATAATGATAATAATGGCATGTAAAAATCTAACCCGTTGCTGTCAAGTGGATTCCGACTCACAACAACCCTACAGGACAGAGGAGAACTGCCCCATAGGGTTTCCAAGGAGTGGCTGGTGGATTTGAACTGCCAACCTTTTGGTTGGCAGCCAAGCTCCTTACCACTGCACCACCAGGGCTCTAATAAAGGAATAAAACATTACAATTCTCTATAAGAGAAAAGAGAACAGAAGAGGAGCCAAGAGCCCTTAATAAGAAATTTCAACAAATTCCTGGAAGACCGAGGGCAGAGGGGAGAAAGCTGACAAGAGAAGCATCAATTAGGTGAGTCAGATAATAACAGTAGCTGAGAAAATGTCTATTTTATCTGATTTTAAAAATTGTGTCACTGAATTGAAAATGTAAAAAATTGTTGAAATGGCAAATGTTGTTACAACACATAAATTTACCACAATTAAAAAAAATGTGTGTTTACTTTGCTTAACATTTAAAATAAAATATTTTAAAAAAGGATAAGGAAAACTAGAATTTACTAGACTTTACAAATATTAATCACTCATTCTCATAAAAACCTTACAAAATCACCATTATGTTATATATAACTGAGGTTCAGAGATAAAAAATACTTGCCCATATTCATACTCTAGAATCCAAGTCTATCTGCCTTAAGTCTTTATTATCAAGCATTTTGCCTCAATACATTTTTAATGACATAAGTAGAGGGAATGTTTGATGCAAAGTATTTGTAGACAATCTAAAACTCTTCACATGAAAGATACTCAAGTCGTGAAACATCACTTATCCTACCACAGCAGCCTTTCTGGGGGCAGAATAAGAACTGCTGTAAAACTAATTTCAGGGATACAGCCATGTAACCACTGTTTTCTGGCAGAAATGGGCAATTAGAATTCCTGGAAATCATTTAGCTTCCAGGACTCAGTTTTTTTAAACTATCTTTACCTTAAAAGACGTATCATTTGCTTAACCTTCTCCATAAGCAATTTGCAAGGACTGAAAATGTTAGCAAAGTCTTAAACATACTGGTTAAAACTGTGTTTCTTCTTACCAGTATAGATATTACTCAATGTTATTTCTTTCTGGGTCTGGTCTTTTTTTTTAATCTTCACAAAGAGAGCTCATTGAACTGTTAAAGGTACTTATCACTCTACCTGGTTGAAGGAGAAAGGAATATTCACTTGGGTAGAGAATTAAGGATATGAAGTCAAGGGAAATTTTCTGAGAGAAAGTACTTCCAAGTGTACCTTACTGAACACTTCAACAAGTGGAGTGAATAATAAGAAAACCTACTATGTGTCAAGCATTGTTCTAGCACTTCTGACCCATCTTAAATAATGTTCAAAAAAAGCCTACATGGTTTGTGATAACATCCCCATTTTAGAGATGAGGAAACAGAATTAAGTAATCTGCCTAAAGTCATACGGTAAGTGGTAGAGATAAGATTTAAATGCAGGTCTGTCCGCCTCCAAAGTCCTTGCCATTTCCTCTACTCTTGCTGCTCATCTGCTACTAGCTTAAGAGAGAGAGCATATCAAACTAATATCACATATTCAGTGTAACAGAAATAAAACAGTAATACGTTAAAGACTGGGTGAGGGTTTAAAATAAATTTCACTGGCTTTGAGACAAAAAAGAAATTTAGGAATAAAATGGCAGAGGTTTATATATTTGGCCAGATGCCAAAATTCACCTTTGCCAGAGAAAAAATCTGAATGCCTCTGCTTTATGTCATGTTATTACAGACTGTCCACCTCTATCACATTTCTTCTCACTCCTTTCCAAACTAAATAACCCCACTCATATTTCTAATCACACACAGGTATTATTTGTTTGTGGGCTAAGGATCAGAACTACAGAGAATTCATTTCAGAAGTATGTAATGAGTGCTCAATTCACCACAGTAATTGCTCCTGACTTAGAACGGACTCCTTCACTAATACTCAACCATCTGATATCTTCAAACACTTTTTCAGAATCATCCCCAAGTTCTTTTCCTGACTAGATATATGGCAGACTGTCCCAATTAGCACATATTCCTAAATTTACTTCTAATTATTTTCTCATGCATCTGCACGGAGCTGCCTCTATTCCCCTCCCCCAGCTCTTAACTGGTCAGAATGTTCTTAATGGTTTTAGCTCATCCACACAATTGGAAATCTTCCTTTCAGTAGCCTTAGTCAAAGCATTTTGATAAATGCTATGAAATGAGTACATGGCAACTGTTCTTCTGGGATGCTCACAATGCCTTACCCCTACCCATTCCAAAGAACCATTAAAATTCATACTTCTGAAGGGCATTGTAACTCTTATAAACCATTAAAATTTATACCTTTGAAGGGCATTGTAACTCTTATGAGACATTAAAATTCATATCTCTGAAGGGCACTGTAACTTATAGGAAATCAGGCTTTTAACAGGTAAGCATGACTCCCATTGCCACTGAGTCAATTCCGGTTCATAGCAACCCTATAGGACAGAGTAGAACTGCCCCGTAGAGTTTCCAGGGAGCGACTGGTGGATTTGAACATGCAGACCTTTTGGTTAGCAGCCGTAGCACTTAACCACTATGCCACCAGAGTTTCCTTAAGCATGACTGGTGGGATCTAAGTCCTTACAAGGATCAAAGATGGCACCTCTATCATAGATTTGACTTCCTTGTACTATTTCTTAGCACTGTTCTTTTGCATTACTCTCAGCTGTACATATAATTTGTTTTTTCACTCGTTCAGTTGAGCTAATGCCTTTTTGTTTCTGTTCCCATTTTTAGTTCTTACAGCAGTTTTCTGGTAAAAATCTAATAAATTTAATTTTGCCCTTCAACAGCAAACAGCCTTCTTTTTTGCATCCGTTGTTTTTTAATCCCTTTAGCATCAGTTTGTTTGCATTTATCTATATACCTTTATGTGAAGCCCTGGTGGCACAGTGGTTAAGAGCTTGGCTGCTAATCAAAAGGTCACAGTTTGAATCCACCAGCCGCTCCTTGGAAACCCTATGGGACAGTTCTACTCTGTCCTACAGGGTTGCTATGAGTCAGAATCGATTCAACGCAATAGGTTTGGGTTTGCTTTACATACCTTTATGTGGTGCTGAATCCCTTTAGACTAGATTTTCTCCTCTAATTTAAATTTCTTTACACCCATTATGCCATGAATTCATGAAGAACTGATTACAGCAGCTCAAGCTTTTCACTGGTTCTCAAAGAAGGTTTTTCAGGGTAGAGTCAATTGGCATATTAGTTCAACCCAAGGTGTCTTTCTCTTGGCCTCTTTCTCTTTCTATACATTTTCCTTTACACAATTTGGGAAGTGATTTTGGCTCTGAGAATACGTGATATATTTTTAAAAAGCACATTAATTTTCCTGGCAAGAATCTTGCCCTTATTCTGTTTGCTTATCTTTCAACAGTGCCCACAGCTAAAAACTGGAATGGTCTACAGTGTCATTTTCTTTCAGCAATGACACTGTGGATTCTCCCAGTTTCACCACAGTTTACTTACGTGGTGCAGAATACCACCAACACCCTTGATGCCTACAATATTACCTTTCTTAAAAAATCCACATGAAAATCGCCCCCAAAATAGCTCTACTTTTCTTCTAAGAAAAAAAGCAAAAAGAAAAAGAACCCAAACCCATTGCCATCAAGTTGATTCTGACTCACAGCAACCTTATAGGACAGATTAGAACTGCCCACAGGGTTTTCAGGGAGTGGCTGGTGGATTCGAACTGCCCACCTTTTGGTTAGCAGCCGTAGCTCGCCATAGCTCTTAACTACTAGGCCACCAGAGCTCCTCTTCTAAGAAAAGGTCTTAGATAATACTAAATCCTTATTCTCTTTCTTTGTGTTAATTTGGCAAATTACCAAAAGATCATAGTTCTAGTCAAACAGAAATAGGGGCTGTCTCTCAATGCTAGGATTACTACTCTCATTATGACCTATAATAAATCACTTTTTAACTCCTTGAGCATCATACAAATAATTAATCCCACAGCCATAAATTAACAGTAATACCCACCTTCATCTTCACTGCTATCAGACTCAGGAAGCTTGATTCGTCTCCTCTTTTTCTTCACGTTTGTAGTTTCTTTTGTCTCATCATCAGATAAATCCACTCGCTTTCCCCTGTTGCCACCCAGGAATAAATTAAGCATGTTACACAGAACAAAAATATAAGTATTCATATACTACTATGGGTCTTGCTTCATAACTCACAGTCTTAATATCAGAGGGTAGATAAGAAGAGTCAAAGTGGACCAACAGGGATTTTTTTTTTTTTTTTTTAAAGGATACTCTGCTAACTGACCACAACTAGGTCACTCCATGGGGTGGCCAGAATAAAAAATTTCTATAGCTCTCTATAACCAGGTCATCAAGAATTTTTCCAAATTCCTTCTTACTTCCCCTACTGGCCTTTCAATCATTTGGCAAGCACCAAATAAGCAGCTACTACCTACATACAGAGGACCCCTAGTGCACAACAGTTAAGTACTCTTTGCTGCTAAGCTAAAGGTTGGCAGTTCGAACCCACCGAGCGGCTCCACAGGAGAAAGAGCTGGTGATCTGCTCCTGTAAAGATTACAGCCTAGAAAATCCTAAGGGGCAGTTCTACTCTGTCACATGGGATGGCTATGAGTTGGAATCGACTTGATGGCACCTAACAACGACAACCTACATACAAGGCTCTTTGCTGACATTGAGGATGCAAAGATCAAGAAGCGGATATTGTTCTCAAGCTCAGAATCTAGCAGAAAAAACAGATACAAATATTTTAAAGAGAAAGAACAATATGAGCAAAGGCACAGATAAAAGACCTTAAGAGGATTCTAATGACAGCAAAAAGCCTAGACTCCATCTTGACATTATTTAGCTCCTCTGTCTGGATTCTCCATTACACTGTTCATCCAATCAACAAATGATTTATCAAGGGCCTAACAAGTATTAGAGAAACAAATATGTACAAAACACAGTTTCTGTCTTCAAGTACCTTACTTCCTGTGTAACTTGAAACATTAACTTTTTTTCTACGTTAAACTAGTCAAAGAATAAATTAGTCCCGAAGTAGAAAGAAATAATAAAGAGTAGAAATCAATGAAATAGAAATTAGAGAAAATTAACATACATAAAAGTTTTTTTTTTATAAGATTAATAAAATTGACAAACTTTTTACAAAACTGTTAAAAAAAAAGAGCAAAAATATAAATTACCAATATCAGGAATGGAAAAAAAAAAAAGAATCTGAAGTGGTAACTACAGATTCTATAGACATTCAAAGAAAAAAGCTATACTACAAACAACTTGATGCCAATAAATTTGACAATTTAGATGAAATGGACAAATGCCTTTAAAAACAAAATTTATCAAAAGTGACCCAAGAAGAGCTAGAGAATCTCAATAGCTCTGTTAAAGAAATTGAATTCATTAAAAAAAAAATCTTCCTATAAAGAACATTCCAGGAAGAAACAATACATATCTTACAAACTCCTTCAGAAAACAGAGGCTGCAAGTCCTCCGAACCAGTTCTATGAAGCTAGCATAACCTTGATATTAAAACCTAACAAAGATATTACCAGAAAAATTACCAATAGCCCTCATAAACAGAGGCAAAAAATCTTTAACAAAATATTAATATATCAAATCCAGTAATATATAAAAAGGACCATACATCATGACCAACTAAGGTTTATCCCAAGAATGCAAGGTTGGTTTAACAACTGAAAATGAATCAGTAGTAGTAGTAGATGTAGAAAAAGCGTTTGTCAAAATTGAACACCTATTCATGATAAAAACTCTCAGCAAACTAGAAAACAGAAACAAATTCCCTCAAACTGCTAAAAGGCATCCGCTAAAAACCTAAATTTAACATCATACTTCATACTGAAATACTGAATGCATTGCTGGCATTAACCATCAACATGAGTGGTAATACCCATGGTTGGGGACATGTTAACCCATCCATATCACAAATTCCTAGGTGAGGCCCATTGGACAGTGCCCTCACTATCTGAAACTGCAGCATTTGGTTGATGTTTCTGCTAGATGAGTCCCAACTCTGCCACAAAAGTCAAGTCTTTCTGGGCCTATCAGTGCTGACAGTGTTCTTTAGAATTTCTTTCAACAGACTAATTCCTACCAACTATGAGGTAGTGTCTCAAATTCCTGGATCCATTTTTAACAGCTTGTGTACTTTTTGTTTTCTTTTCTAATTACCTTTTACCACTTGAAAAATAAACTCATTGATATAAAAAGAAAACAAAGAACTTTTTCTCTTAAATTTGTCTGGAAACAGTAACCCTTCATTTGGCAACTTGACGTGAAAAACAGACACATACACTCAATAAGGCATACTTATGCCATGTCCACAAATTTAAAATGAAGTAAGGGAGAAAAGGCAATTTAGATCAATAGGGCCAAAAAAACTGACTTTGAGCCCCAAGTTCCAAACTGATTCCACAGTCCTACTTCACAAGATAAGCTACTGAACTCTCTTCGTTTTGGTTGTATAGTTGTATCCTTAAGGCATTAAGTAGGATTTAGTACTCAAACTGAAAACTGCTTGCCATCAATAAATCCAGACAGACCTTCTCACCCCCAACAGAGACACTCTTCCCCCACAAGCCGCAGAATTTTCCTACCTTTTTTTCTCCTTCTGCTGCATCTTAACAGGCTCTGCTTTTTTGTTGGATTTCTTCAGGCCTGCAGGGGCTGCCAGCTTTGGTTCAGTGACAGACACTGGAGGTTGCTCCACTATTTTTTCTTCTTTCACTGCTTGTTCTGAATCCAAATTGACTTTATCTACAAATAAAGTATAGCAGATGACATACAGCCCCACCGTGCAATATTATTCCATCATTCTTTTGACAGTCTACTGTCTACTATGAGCCAGGTAATATGTTAGGGACTATAGTATGTTAGGAGGAAAGGGATTAAAAACAGTCCCTGTCCTAATGGAGCTCACAGTCTATTCAGAAAACATTTCTCCTTTCCAACTACCACTCTAGCTATAACTTTTTCATTTCTGACTGTTAATCCCTCATTATATCACAGTCCGCAGGCTAATGATAGTAAAAGCAGGGCTTAGAAAAAAATGAGTACAACAACTTCAAGAAATATCACCCTTCTCATTTTTCAGATGAGGAAACTAAGGGTCACAAGGTCTAAGATATTTTCCCCAAGAATATACAACTTACAAACGATGACAAGAAAATTTGCACCAAGGCGTAAGTCTATACTATATTCTACCTTTTTATGCCTGGATACTCTTATTATCTCACTATTACCTTAATGATATAATTGAAAGACTTCTGCAATAAAAGTCTGGCTCACGCCCTGCTTCACTCTGGGCAAATTAGTTCATCTAAAAGTCAGTCTTCTCTGTAAAAAGTGGGATAATATTTATAAGATTATTATAAGGATTAAAAGGGATCAGTATGTGAGGTTAAGTGACTTAAACAAGGTAACAGTGATAGAGAAGGTATGAGCCTGGATTTGAATCTCAGTCAGTCTAATTCCTCAAAGTCTTTACACCTTTCCCAACACCAAGCTGAAAAACAAACAACTACTGTTAAGTGTGGAGGACCAGAAAATGGCAAGCAGCCTGGGCACAGCCATCTGAGAAACTGTAGAAGCATATAATCTAGGCTTCATACTGTACTCAGTGACAGCTTTTTTCAAGAAGTCACAGAAATATTCTATAAAAGCTGTAAACAGCATGAGGCACCTGAATATGTAGTTTTGGTGACACATTATAAAATAGCTTAAACTATCTACAGGGTAGGAAAAAAAAAAAAAACTACTGACATCTTACCCTTGGCTGTTACACACAGCTTAGTATAATAATTTAAACATATCTGAAAGGGTAAATGATGAATAAAAGTGACTTTAACTTGAATGGGAAAGGTGAACGGTGAACTTCACCAGCCAGTGGTGATATACTCTCTTGTGTTGATATACTGGTGGTATACCAGCGACCTATATTCAGTATGTTGTTCTCATGTTTCAGTGCATCTCACAACTTTTCTACCAAAATATCCCAAATCATATAGGAGTAAACATGTATTTCCAGGGGGAGTCTAAGAATACAGCCCTAAGCAGACAACCCAAAAAACAGTTCTGTGAGTCTCAAATGTATCTTTAAAATTTATGAAAATTTTTCATTTTGCTACATAATTTATATTGTTTTAATGGCACTTATTTTAAAATTACAATATCATTAGGATAAAAAAGCCTCCAAATATTTCCTACTTACCTCATGGGTTAAGGAAAGAGAGGCTACTGCACTGAGTCTATCAATTTCAGAAAACTGATCTGAATTAAAACTCTGACAAAACATTAGACTCAGCATCCAGAGCTTCTGAAGCCCTGGTAGTGCAGTGGTTAAGCACTTAGCTGCTAACCAAAAGGTCGGGGTTTCAAACCTGCCAGCTGCTACATGGGAGAAAGATGTGGCAGTCTGCTTCTGAAAAAATCACAGCCTAGGAAACCCTACGGGGCAGTTCTACTCTGTCCTATAGGGTTGCTATGAGTCAAAACCCAACGGCAATGGGTTTGTGGTAAGAAGCCCTGGGTGCAAAGGCAAAGCGCTTGGCTGCTAACCAAAAGGTTGAGGGTTCTAATCCACCTAGCAGCTCCATGGGGGAACCTCCTGGCAATCTGCTCCCCTAAAAATTACAGCCTAGAAAACCCTATGAGGCAGTTCTACTCTGTCAAATGGGGTTGCTAAGTCAAAACCGATTCAACAGCACCAACAACCTATATATACATGTGGCTACAACTGGCCAATCAAAACCGATTCAACAGCACCAACAACCTATATATACACGTGGCTACAACTGGCCAGTTAGCTGGTAAAAAGATAGTTCCATGAAACATTTTCAGGAAACTGTTAAGGAAAATTTAGTCACATTTTCTTGTTATCTGAAAGATCAAGTCACTTCTATCATCTGACACATTAAAAGTATCTCCTTTTAATACTCAAGAAAATATGAAACCTTTTCAAGCAAAAAAAAAAAAAAAAAAAAATCTAACTGATGATGACTTTTTGTTACCGATGTTGCAATTTTTATTACATATAAAGCATTAAGTTATTTTTATTGAGCTATAAGTCACAGACCATAAAATTCACCGTTTCAAAGTATACAATTCAGTGGTTTTTAGTGTATTTAGAAAGTTGTGCAACCATTAATACTATCTAATTTTAAAGCATTTTTATCACTCCAAAAAGAAACCCCATACCCATTAGCAGTCACTTCCAACTCACCCCAGCTCTACCCCAGGCAACCTTTAATCTACTTTCTCTATAGATTTGCCTATCCTGGACATCTCATATAAATGGAATCATATAATATTTGGTCTTTTCTGTCTGGCTTCTTTTACTTAGCATAATGTTTTCAGGATTCAATCATGTAGTATGTATCAGTATTTGACTTCTTTTTATAACTGAATAATAAATATTCCATTATATGAGTATGCCATAGTCTATTTATCCATTCATCAAGTGATAGACATTTGGGTTGTTTCTATATTTTGGTTAATACGAATAATGCTGCTATGAACATTTGTGTATAAGTTTTTGTGTGGACATATGTTTTCATTTCTCTTGCTTATAGGTACTTAGGAGTGGAATTGTTGGGTCATATGCTAAGACTACGTACGTTTAACCTTTTGAGGAACTGCTACATGGTTTTCCAAAGTGGGTACACCATTTTACATTCCCAAATGCAATGTATGAAGGTTCCAATTTCTCCATATCCTTGCTAACACTTGTTGTGGTCCAGAATTAAGTTTTAAATGGTTCAAGTCCCCACAATCAACTCTCTTCACCCAACTCTTAAACTTCAATTTCACTGTAATGATCTTGCCATGTATCAAATAAAAACATTCATAATTTTACTCTAAACATTTAGCCTTGAAAAAAATCTGTTAAATAAACCAACTTTGCTGCCATTCTTTTTATAGGTGAACAATTAATTATTTTATCCAGGTTTTCCCCCTCCTTCTATTACATTCTATCATAACATCCTGTTTACTTTCTGCCTAGCAATTACAATCATCAACTTTTTTTTTTTTGTATTTGTTTGTCTTCTCTCCCAGTGGAATATGAAGGGCCACAGGTCAGGGCTTGTTTGTCTTATTCTCCATGGTATCACCAGTGCATAATAGTGCTAAGTAGTCCATAGGGGTTCAAAAAATATTTGTTGAATAAATAAGTGTATACCCTGTATAGTCTCCTTTTAGAATGAGTAAATATTCACATCTTATATATTTTTTTAAATAATAATTTTTTTAAAAAATCACTGGTTTGTAAACAAATTCATATAAACAAAACAAAACAGCTAAACATATGGTCATCATTAAGGCTGCCAAGAAACCATATAATCTGACCAGGTACAGTGGGCTAGTACCAGCCACTCAGGCCAGAGAAGTCAGCATGATCTGTGTGCTGTGACTGCGATGATACAACTGTGCTCCCTGATAACCTAAAAAGTATCAAATTTTCCATATACTTCAGAACACAGAAATGTCCCTCCCTGATAGCTTTTATGGAAAATTAAAAACTATCACTCCAACCCCCTTCCCCAACACCAATTTGACCATCATGAAAAAGCAGAATTTTGACTAATTTTGCTTGCATAAACACATAACAAAACACTTTCCCACAAAATTTTGAAAAACTGATGCTCCAAGAAAGTGTGCCATAATTATCCTCTGGCTCCTGAATTCTTCCTAGTATTCTGCCACATACCCTCATGGGATGCATACTTGATATAAGTACAGTAAAACCTGCGAAAGCCGGAACCTGTGTAAGGCAGAAACCTGTCAGAGAAGGAAAACTCACAAACATTTTCCACTAAATCGAGTGATAGAAAAGTGGTAAGACTGTACTCTGTCAAAGGTGGAAAACTTGCAAAATCTGGATAAACAAGGTAGTCCTGTTGAGTTCTGGCTCTCACAGGTTTCAGTGTATAAAGATATGTGACCACTGATTCTTTCCATACAAATTTTTATTTAAATATTTTTCAAATAAAGGAGATTTTGCTTTCTCAAAAGTATTATTTTAAAATGGTCATCCCTACCTGGACCCTTCTAATTCACACTGAGGTCTAATTCATTACTGTAAGTAATCTGCAAAAATAACTAAAGAAAGGTAAAAGATTTATTTCTGCAGTTCCTTGAAAGAGAAAGTAACAAAAGGTCACCCTAGGCAAACTGATTCCAATATCCATGATATTAACCTCAAAACTATACTGTATCACAAGGCAGACTGTTATTTTAATCACCCATTTTTAAAAGCCCTATGAAACAAATATCTAAACTCCTTTTCCTACGGAAGAAGGTAAAGTAGGAACGGTAAACTACTCTCTAAGAGAACTAAACTGGGCCCAGTTCGCCCAGTAAAGTCGCTGTTCCAGTTGGGTTACGTTCATCAATAATACTGGTCACCAGACTGCAAATTTATGTTAGGATGCGAGAATAATACATGTTAGCCTCCTAGAAGAGCAAAAACGAGGCAAGGTGGCTTTCACTTCAAATATAATATGTTATTTACAATAATATTCATTCAAAGGAAGGTAAGAACATACTTACTTATAGCAGCTTTTCCAAAAAAATTGCTCATCACATTCCCTTTCCCTGGTGCCTTGCTGCCTACCAAAGACGCCTAAAAGAAAACACACGATTTTTTCTAGGGTTTAGGTTGCTCCTGAAGTGACACAGTCTCAAACAATCTCTTCAACATCACAGCACACTGCTGTGATGGTACAATTTTTATGTAACCATCCCAAAATGCGTAGGCCTTAGATATAAGAACAAATCTACATCAATCATCCAGACCAGACAGTATCTGGTGTTAATCTCCAAAGCTAAATTTCTCAGACTTCTTATAAAATTATAATCCATGAATGTTTTAAAACTTTTCTTCAGCATATTTAAAAATTACTTAGTTTGACAGAATTAAAACAGATCAGAGGTAGTACGGTACACAATGGGGAAAAAAAGTCCCAAAACATTACATTTGTAATCATCAGAAGTGGATTTGAAACCTGGTTCTACAACTTAACAGCAATATGACCTCCAGGCAAATTATTTAAGCCTAGGCTTCGGTTTCACTACATATAAAATGGGGATAATAGTATTTTCATCACAGAACTGGGGAGGAAAAATTTTAAAAAGATCAAACTATTGGCACACAGGAAAAGTTCAATAAATGTTACTGTTTTCTCTGCACCCTTCCCCTCCTTTCCCAAAGTAAAAGCTTTGAGATGACAATGAATGTTAATAATAGTAATAACAGTAATTATACTTTACTGGGTTGTTTTTAATAGTTATCTTAATGATACTTAAGTCAATGCTATTTACTTCAGATGACTGAACAACAACCCCCCTCCCCTCCAAAAAAAACCCAGAATAAAGGAGAGAAAAAAAAAAAACACTAGAAAAATACATAAAAATAGAACAAGAATGTTAGATACATTAGGAAGCTAGGCAAAAATGGCAAAGTCTGGATTATAAGATGTTCACAGTGACATAACATAACACTAATATACAATTCTTTGTACTTTACAGTTTTCAAGGTGTTGTCACATGCATTATTTCAGCTGGGTCTCATAACAATTTTATGATGGGACACGGCAGGTATTATCATTTTACAGGAGAATCTGAGGCTTGGTGAGAAGTATTATGAGAAAGAAAATATTTCAGAAGAGAATACTAAGTATCAAAGGATTCAAACTTCAGATGAGAATACTAAGTATCAAAGGATTCAAACTAAAGTAGAAAACAGAACTAAACAGCAGAATCCTATATAATTAAAATACTACCACTGAATGCTTTTCTAGTTATTCATTGTGAGCTGTACAAGCCTATCTTTTAAAAACACTGTTACCTCTTTAGCCTCTGTTTTGCTTTCCTTGTTAGTGTCTTGAGTTTTAGAAGCAGCTTTGGCAGCAAACATTCCCATAATTCCTTTGGGCTGCTGGGAGACCTGTTTGGCGGCAGGTGGGCCATGACCATTGGTGGTCAACTCATTATTGGCTTGTGTCTCACTAGATGCCTGCAGATTTGACTGCTCAAGCTTTTCCGAAGATGAGAACTCAGCGGGTGCTCTAGGGACAGCAGCTGCACATTGTATGGCACTAAACCTGGCAACAGAAATGTTAAATTAATGTCAACTTCAAACCTTATTTCAAACTCTTACTTCTTCCCCAAAATACTTTCTAACCCTAATACTATAAAATTAGAGAATTTTAGTAATAGAATGAATGTTAGAAATTATTTTGCTAAAAAAAACTCTCATTTAGATAAAGAAACAAGTATTTGAAGAAAGTGATTTGTCCTAGGTTATACAGTTAGTCAGAGTTCCTGGATGGTACAAATGGTTGACATGCTCAGTTGCTAACCGAAAAGTTGGTAATTCAAACCTTCCCAGAGGTGCCTTGGAAGAAAGGCCTGGAGATCTACATCAGAAAAATCAGTCACTGAAAACCCTTTGGACACACATGGGGTCACCATGAGCGGAAGCAACTCAAAGGCAACTGGTTTTTATACAGCTAGTTAGTAATAGAGCTAGAATTGAAATCAAGTGTCTTCTATCACGCCATAATGGATATTCTTGGTCTTTTGAAGAAAGTATCCTAATTCAAAACAGAGTAAGAACCAGGGCTTCAAACCAGTTCAAATCCCTGCTGAGAGTCTGCATTTCTAACAAGTTCCCAGGCGATGCTAATGATGCTGGTTAGGGACCAATTCTGAGAACCACTAGCAGAGGCAGCCCAAACCAAACCCATTGCTGGTGAGTTGATTCTGACTCACAGTGACCCTCCCTATACGACAAGAGTAGAACTGCCTCATAGGGCTTCCAAGCAGTAGCTGATAGAGTCAAACTGCTGACCTTTTGGTTAGCAGCCGAGTTCTTAACCACCGTGCTACCAGGGCTTCACTAGTACAGCAGTGGTTCTCAAACTTTATCATACATAAGAATCAGCTGGGGACCTTGTTAAAATGTAGATTCTGATTCAGTATATCTGGGGTGGAAATGCAAATTCTCAGTAGGGGTTCAAACCAGAACAAACCAGTTCGAAGCCCTGGTAAGAACACACCAAAAAAATTAAATAAAATATTAGTAGTTTCACTATCCTTGGGCAAATGGTTGTCTCTTGTTTTTAAAAACCTTCACCTCTAAGGGATAGATATGCAATAAATATTGACTGAATCAAGATTAAAAGCTTTAAGTATTAACAAATTTCCTGGCAACTTTCCTGGTCAGAGCAAGTCATGCTTTAGAATACAGAGGGCGCTGGGAGCAGGGCTGCTGGCTCCTATAACCTGTGGTCCTTTACAGCCATTTGTTAGTAATTCCTAGTAATACCAATGAGCAGCACCAGACAAGTAGGTGGCTCAAAGCCAAGCGAAGAAATGTGATGTAACAGTTTGCGTGGCATATTAAAGGACATATTCATCTCTTCTTCTTTCCTGGAAACCCTGGTGGCACAGTGGTTAAGAGCTACAGCTGCTAACCAAAAGGTCGGCAGTTCAAATCCACCAGGCGCTCCTTGTAAACTCTATGGGGCAGTTCTACTCTGTCTTATAGGGCTGCTATGAGTCAGAATCGACTTGACGGCAATGGGTTTGGTTTTGATTTTTCTTCGTCCCTAATCATTGTAGATGTGCTTGTTTCATACAACTCTATAATGTAACATCCCACCCTGGAAATGGATAACTGATTCAGCCTTTTCAAAGGGTTGTACCTAAAGCAAAATTCCCTAACTTTTCCTAAAAAAGAAGAACATTTTATTTCCCTCAGTCTTTTGCTCATTAGGGGTAAGTGAAAGCTCCATGAAGGTAGGCAAGTATTTTGTCTTTTGTATTTCAGGCAGTCAGCACAAGACCTGGCACACAGCAAGTGTCAGGAAATGCATGCTGAAAGACTATTTAAGTCACTGAAAGCAAGACTGTCTCTCCCTTCATCATCTTAATTTGGGATGGAAGATGGGGGAGTTACGAAACTATGTGGTGATAACAATTATCTTAGAGATCAACCAGGCACAACTTCAAGATTAACTGCTAGAATACCTGGCCTAAGAAAAAAATCCCTGATGAATCATTTAACGTCAAAAGTAACTTTAGACTGGGCAGCTAGAGTCTACAGCTCTAACAGTCTTCCACTGATTTATTATGGCCCACATCAGAAAAACCTATGTTAACACAAATATTTTGTGCATCAGAGTTAAGAACAGATGGAAATCATTTACTTCCACCTACTGCTCTTCCTCTCTGGCCTTGCAATGCTTCTATGTACAAGGAAAACGGCAATGTTTTATTTCATTGTCAACATCTAAAGTTGGCCCTGAGACAACGCTTTCTCCATTTGGTCTGCATTCCACACCTTAGGGTCAGGACCGGGAACTGGCAATGAGGAAGAGACCAAGTTAGGTTGGGAACATATCCGAAGACTGAAGAATCTCTGCTCAATGCTAAAATTTCAATTTCTTCCTGTCACAGCACTTCTTAAAACACATGAAACAATGAGTCAGATCTCAGCTGGCCCATAATTCTCAGGATCAAATACAAACTTCTTGGAGATAAATTCTTCACATTTCTACCAAGGATACTTTAAGTACTTAAGTAAAGTTTCATTAAAGTGCTTCCTATCACCTTTCTACTTGCTATATATTTTTTTAGTGGTCACTGTGTAAATTTCATTTTGAATTTTTTGAGTCATATTGATTCTTGTTTAACTGCTAGATACAAGACTGGAAAAGATTTTTAGAGTTTGACATGCCACGACTAGATTTTAATACAGGTTATAAGTGAAATCTAATAATATATTTTACAAAAACTAATCAACGTGTTAGTTTTATTATTCTTTGGTTAGGTCATTATATTTACTTAACAAATATTTGTATGCCTATTACACTCAAGGTGTTGGGCCAAAGGGGGGAAAAAAAAACTAGTATCTATTGTTAATTCATTCAACAATTACTTACCGAATGCACTCCTATGCCAAGTACCATTTTGGGTATACACTGATAATCAAAAGAAACAATCCCTATTTTCATGGAACTTACAGAAACCACGGTAATTCTATATCTATTTCTAGCTCCATCAGTGATTCCATCCCCTCCTGCGTCTTCAATCTTTTCCTCTCTTGTGGCTCTTTCCTAACAACATAAATTCAAGTCATTCTCAACTTTAAAAATGTATATATCCTTCCTCAACCCCAAGTACCTCTTTAGCTACTGTCTACTTTTCCTTAATTTTACAGTCAAATTTCCTGGAAAGAGTTTCCATGTATGTTGTATCTCTTCCTCATGTCCCATTCACTCCACTGAAAATGCTCTTACCTACCAGGCTCACGGACAGAAAGACTCAACATTGTGAAAATGTCAATTCTACACAAAGGGATCTACAAATATAATGCAGTACTGATCCAAATACCAACAGCATTCTTTAACGAGATGGAAAAACTAATCACCAACTTGATATGGAAAGGAAAGAGGTCCTGGATAAGCAAAGCATTATTGAAGAAAAAGAAAAAATTAGGAGGCCTCGCACTACCTGATCTCAGAACCTACTATACAGCCATGGTATTCAAAACAGCCTGGTACTGGTACAATGAATGACACAAAGACCAATGGAACACATTCCAGAACCCAGATGTAAATCTATCCATCTATGGTCAACTGATCTTTGACAAAGGACCAAAGTCCATGAAGTGGGGAAAAGACAGTCTTTTTAACAAATGGTGCTGGCAAAACTGGATGTCCATCTGTAAAAAAATGAAACAGAATCCATACCTCACACCATACACAAAAACTAACTCAAAATGGATCAAAGACCTAAATATAAAACCTAAAATGACAGAGATCATAGAATTAAAAATAGGGACAACAATAGGGGCCCTAATACACGGCATAAAGAGACTATAAACCATAACTAACAGTGCACAAACACCAGAAGATAAACTATGTAACTGGGAGCTTCTAAAAAGTAAACACTTATGCTCATCAGAAGACTTCACCAAGAGTAAAAAGAGAACCTACAGACCAGGAAAAAGATTTTGGCTACAACATATCTGACAAGGGTTTAATATCTAAAATCTATAGAATACTTCAAAACCTCAATAATAAAAAGACAAATAATCCACTTAAAAAAATCGGCAAAGGATATGAACAGACACTTCACCAAAGAAGACATTCAGGCAGCCAAAAGACACGTGAAGAAATGTTCACGTTCATTAGCTATTACAGAAATGGAAATCAGAACTACAATGAGATACCATTTTGGCCCAACATTAGTGGCACTAATCAAAAAAACAGAAAATAACAAATGTTGAAGAGGTTGCGGGAAGATTGGAACTCTTATGCACTGCTAGTGGGAATGTAAAATGGTACAACCACTATGGAAAACAGTATCGTACCTCCTTAAAAAGCTAGAAATAGAAATGCCATACGATCCAGCAATTCCACTACTAGGAATATATCCTAGAGAAACAGACATACGCACACCCATGTTCACTGCAGCATTATTCACAATAGCAAAAAGATGCAAACAACATAAGTGCCTATCAACAGATGAATGGATAAACAAATTATGGTACATACACACAATGGAATTCTGTGCACCAATAAAGAATAATGACGAATCTGTGAAACATCTCACAACACGGATGAATCTGGAGGACATTATGCTGAGTGAAATAAGTCAATCACAAAAGGACAAATATTGTATGAAACCATTGTTATAAAAACCCAAGAAAAGATTTACACACACAAAAAAACACTCTTTGACAGTTATGAGGGAGGGGAAGAGTGGGGAGGGGAAATCACAAACTAGATAGTTGACAAGTGTTAACTTTGGTGAAGGGAAAGGCAACAAACAATACAGGGGAAGTCAGCACAACTTCATCAAGGCAAAGTCCTAGAAGCTTCCTAGACAGATCAAAACACCTTAAAGGTCCAAGTTACTGGGGCTAAGGGCTGGTGTCTTAGTTATCTAGTACTGGTATAACAGAAATACCACAAGTAGGTGTCTTTTAACAAAGAGAAATTTATTTTCTCACATTTCAGCATCAGTTCCAGGGGAAGGCTTTCTCTGTCAGCCTTCTCATCAATCTTCACCTGGTCTGGGAGCATCTCAGTGCAGGAACCTCAGGTCCAAAGGATGTGCTCTGCTCCCAGCACTGCTTTCTTGGTGGTATGAGGTCCCCTACTCTCTGCTTGTTTCCCTTTCCTTTTATCTCATGTAAGATAAAAAGTGGTGCAGGCCACACCCTAGGGAAACTTGCTTTACACTGGATCAGGCATGTGACCTTAGTAAGGGTGTTATACAATCCCACCCTACTCCTCTGTAATGTAATTTACAATCACAAAATGGAGGACAACCACACAATACTTTGAATCATGGCCCAGCCAAATTGATACACACATTTTTTGGGGGACATAATCCATGACAGCTGGTGACCATGGTCTCGAGCGATATCTGGGTCAACTGGCATAACATAGTTCATAAAGAAAATGCTCTACATTCTTCTTTGGTGAGTAGTGTCTGGAGTCTTAAAAGCTTGCGAGTAGCCATCTAAGATACATCTATTGGTCCCATCCCATCCAGAGCAAACGAGAATGAAGAAAATCAAAGATGCAAGGAAAATATTAGTCCACAGGACTAATGGACCACATGAACCACAGCATCCACCAGCCTGAGCCCAGAAGAACAAGATGGTGCCCACCTACCACCACCGACAGCTCTGACAGTGCTCACAATAGAGGGTCCTGGACAGAGCAGGAGAAAAATGTAGAACAAAATTCAAATTCACAAAAAAAAGACCAGGCTTACTCTGACAGAGACTGGAGGAACCCCCGAGACTATGGTCCCCGGGCATCCTGCTAACTAAGAAGTGAAGCCACTCCCAAAGTACACCTTTCAGCCCAAGATTAGACAGGCCTATAAAACAAACAATAACACGTGAGGAATGTGCTTCTTAGTTCAGTCAAGTATATGAGACCTAACAGGCAACACCTGCCCAAAAGCAAAGACGAGAAGGCAGGAAGGGACAGGAAAACTGGATGAATGGACATGGAAAATCTAGGGTAGAAAGGGAAAGGGGGAGAGTGCTGACACATTGCTGGGATAGCAACCAATGTCACAAAACCATTTGTGTATCAATTTTTGAATGACAAATTCATTTGCACTATACACTTTCACCTAAAACACAATAAAATTTTTAAAAAAGAAAAAGACAATGCTCTTACGAAGGCCATCAGTAAATCCTACAGGCACTTTTCAGTTCCTATCTTAATTGGTTTCTCAGCATCATCTGACATTATCGGCCAGTCCCTCCTTCTCAAAACTCTCCCCTCAGCTACTGAAACATCATAAACTCTGACGATTTCCCTCTTATTTTGGACTGCTCCCTCTTGGGCCCCTCTTTTTCTGTCTATTCCTGAAAAATGGCTACCATTTAAACAGTGCCAAGCACGGTTCTAATATTTTATACATATTAATTCATTTAATCCTCTATAACCCTATGAGGTTGATACAATTGTTAGCCCCATCTTACTGATGAGGAAACTGAAGCACAGAGAGGTTAAATAATTTGCCCAAGGCACAAAGCTAGTTACTGTAGCCTAGAGTTTTATTTTCTGCCCTTCTTTCATTTTATACATTCTCCCTGCATGACTATATCTGTTGATGTGACCCAAGTACTTTATGTTTTTGCTGTCATTCCAAAATCTCTATCTTCATCCTAGGTTTCTATACTTAGCGCTAGACTCACCTATTTAACTCAATGGGCATCTACGTGGATTTCCCACAGGCTTCTCAAACTCAACATGTCCAAAACCCAATTCATCAATTTCCTCTCTCTCCCAAAGCCTGCTCTTCCTCTTATAATTTATCTAACTGCCCAAGTCAGAAATATAGGCATCATCTTTTAACTCCATGAACGATCCCCACCCCCAACACACACACCTCTACATCTTATCCCCAGCCACTACATTATCATCCAGGTTTTGATGATTATGAGTCTTTATCCTTTGTACCTCTCCATCCCCAACACCACAGATTTACTTCAGTAACCATACTCTCCAGCCTGGATCACTGTAACATTTTCCTGGCTCTGTGACATCATAAGGGACATTTAGGTTCCATGAGGGGAGGGATTATGCCTAACTGATCTATCTTCAACATTAGAGCCAGTGATCTCTCTAAAATGCAATTCTGATCACTTTGCTGCATCTGCTTAAAAACCTTCAGTGGCTTCCCACTGCCCTCAGAATAAAGTATAAACTGCTTAATCTAGTAGACAAAGCACAGAATGTTCTGACTCCTGGCTTGCCTCTTCAGTCTTATATCTAATTATTTCCTACCTCTCACTCTAAACTCAGCCATAGGAAAACTATGGTGGTTAGCTCTGTCTTTACTCTCCCATTTCTCCTTTTTCTGGACTACTTCTACTGGGTCTTCAGGCCTCAACTTAGATGGCAGACCCTCCAAGAAGCCTTCTCTGTTCTGTCTTCTCACACCACCCAAGTGTGGGGTAAGTGCCCCTCCAACATGTTCCCATACTATTACTCCTATTATAGCACTCCTACTATAACACTGTCACACTGTATAATAACTGTCTGTCTCCCATCAGACCACAAATTTCATGAGCAGGTACTGTGCCATAATCACCCTACAATGGGAGGCATGTCACAGGTTCTCATCAGATACTTGTTGAATGAATTCAAGTTCTCTTGCTTAGTACCTATCAAAGTGTAAGTGCACCATATGTTAGCAGAACTGACCTAAACCCTCAAAATAACCCCACAAACCATGCACTGCTATATCTAACTTAAAGATGAAGAAACTGAAGCTTAAAGAGTTTAAGTAATGTGTCCAAAGTCACTGAGCTATTACGCAGAAAAGCCACGACTCCAGCCCATGACCATGTAACATTATTCTAAAATCCATGTGTGTTATAGTCCAATACCTCCTTGTGCTGTGAAGGATTCAAAGATGAACAAGATTTAACCCTAGCTATGGAAGCTCAAGAAAAAGTTACTTTTGGATGGAAGGTAGAGGGATATCAAATTAGGAATAGTTGTTGAAGGATGGATAGGATTCAGACAAGCAGAGAGGGGAAAGGGAGTAATGAGGGGCTCAACAAATATTTCTAGCGGCCGTGACAGGACAAAAATAGGAGAAATAAATTCATGGGGAGTCCACTAGGGTTTTCAATATGGGTTGTTGCTGCTATTTTTCGCCTTATGATGTACTAATAAAGCCAGGCATGTGTCTTACCACAAGATAAATGGTGTTTTAATGGACTTGGCATTCACTCTAAAGAGGCAGCCACTGCGTAAACATCTTACAAAATCAATTAGTAAAGAAGCCCACAAGGAACATTTAATGAGCTCACTTGGTGCAGTTTTGCAAGTTGCTTTTAAGGATGTCATAGTCAGTATTGAACAGAGGCCCACTGTCCTTTAATATGGCTTTCTGGATGCTGTACACATGGATGCTGGCAGTCACAGCTAGCTTGGACTTCACAGCTACAAGTCAATAGGAAAAGCAGTCTGTTAATATACAAACTTCAAAGCATGTAGGGACTTTAACAAGAAACCTTTCTGCGTTAAAACCATTTGCGGCCTGTGGTGGTTCAAAAAGTCCTAAACGGCCAAATAGCCACATATACAATATAACATCAACTCATCTGTCTGCAGTGGGAACATTATGACCAGGTAGGTGGTGGTGAGTCAGTTATAAGTACAGCACCTGCAATGGTATCACTCATCAAGCGGACACTCAGTAAATATTAATGATTGATGATGACCACGATGTTCTTTTTCTCAGTCAGGGAAGAACTTTACGCTCTACCATATAATTAAGAGGAATAAGTAATCTCTGTCTGAGGAGACTCACTTATGTATTTCAATTTTAGTTTACAGAAAGCAACTATGTAACAAAAACACTATCAAGTAGATAAATCTGCAGAGGAAATACACAAGAGAGTATCACAAGGAAAAAATTTTAGATTTCATGAGGGAAGGGATTATGCCTAACTTGCTCAGCATCTCCAGTGCCTAGCACAGAGCTTGGCACATAGTAGATGTTCACTATGTATCTACTGAATAAATAAATCTTGCTTTGCCTACCACTATGGGAATTCAGAAAAAGTGGACATCACCGCACTGAATATCTCATAGGTATACTTGGTAGGAAACGACCCCCACTGGCAGGATCCTTTATATACAAAGTCTAACAGTATAGGTTTTGTCTGGAAACATAGGTTCAAGATCATGAAGACCCTGTTATAAAAATTCCTTTGAATTGGATTTTTAAATAATAGAACAGTAGCATTAATAGTCTTAAAATGGGTGGAAATTTCTAATTTAGTAGTTATATTAAGTCTTTCTGATTTCTAGAAAACTATTATTTTCTTCCTAAAAAAAAAAAGCTGTTATGGAGCACAATACAATATCTAGAGGCTGCTATCTTTTTATAGCTGATGAAATATTCCATGACATTCATGATAGTATTTTGCATGTCTGTGACAAGTTTCTAAATCCTGTGATAAAAGTGCTTTCTAAATGTCAGTTGCTATTGGCCTTTAAGAATGAGAAATGAGGCAGATATAGTACCATATTTTAACTTCAGAAATTATCAATAAAGGGAAGATACAGCTCTTCAGTTAAATAGTTAAAGATATCATACACAGATGATAGGGGCAGATTTTTTATTATATCTACGCTGGCACCATAAGAGGAAAAACGTTAAATCAATAAAACTCTTACCTTCCAACTTATCTTCTCTCACTACTGCAACCTTGTGGCACTGTAAGGAAATAACAGTTTTGTTTCATTAGCGCTTAAAGCAGAATGTACAATTTTAAAGTTTTCCTTGCTAATAATTCCGTTGTACTTGGAGATTAAATTAGGAAAAACACTAGGTATCCCTTAAAATGTATGTTACAGTTTGATAAAGTCAGACTCATTTTTAACTTGCTCACTCTGAAATTTCTCAATCAGTTTAAGGAGAGTGATAGAATATAGTTATCAATACCATAATGAAAAAGCATACAGCCATCTCAAATCACTGTGGGGAAAAGAGTACTTTTTAATAAGTGATAGAATGAGAATTATTGTACAGTCATATGGAACCAGATAAAATTGGATCTATCCCTCACACCAAACACCAGGATAAATTCTAAATGGATCAGACATTTAAATGTAGAAAAATGAAACCATACATGCACTAGAAGAAAATATGGATGAATTCCTCTATAACCTGATGTAACATAAGAATAAGGAAAACTTTTCAAACTATAATTCAAAATTCAGAGACTATAATGGAAAACAATGACAAATTTGACCCCATAAAAACTAACAATCTTTTAATGACCAAAGCAAAAACTTTAAGCAAAGTACAAAGACAAATGACAACATGGGAAAAATATCTTCAACCTATATTACAGAGGGTTAATATACAGTTTCTAAAAATAGAGACAACAAGGCTAACAACCCTTTAGGGAAATGGGCAAGAGATATGAACAGTTGGTTCAAAGAGAAAGAAATGCAAAATGCCCTGAAATCTGAAAAGATATTCAACCTCACTCAAAATAAGATGTATATTAAAACTAAACTGAGTTATCATTCCTTACTTAAGAGACAGACAAAAACCAAAAGCTTGACAACATGTGCTGTGTGGAAACAGGCATTCTCATACATTGCTGGTGGGAATGAAAAGTAGAGAGGCGTTTGGCAATACCCAACAAAATTACATAAACATTTACCTTTTGACCCAGCAATCCTACTTCTAGGAACATAACCCTGAAACACACTGGCAAAAACATACAAAAACCATATACATTGAGAACTTTACTGCAGCATTACTTGTGATAACCAAAGATTTTAAATAACTCTAATGTCTATCAGTAAGAAACTGCTGAATAAACTAACATATATCCATCAAGGAACCCTGGTGGCACAGTGGTTAAAAACTCAGCTGCTAACCAAAACATCTGCAGTTCAAATTCCCCAGCTGCTCCCTGGAAACCCTATGGGGCAGTTGTACTCTGTCCTATGGGGTCACTATGAGTGAGAATTGACTTGATGGCAACGGGTTTGCTTTTTGTTTTTGTTGTTTTGTTTTAATCCATCAATGCAGTACCATGCGGCTGTAGTAAGGAATAAGTAATATTTCTAAAACTGCTATGGAGTGATCCTCAGGACCTCCTGTTAAGTTAAAAAGAAAAAAAAAAAAGCAAAGTACAAAATACAGCATATAGTATGAAACTTTTACCTAAGAAAGGGGAGTACTACGAATATATATTTGCTTATATTAAAAATATACACATAAATAATAACAACATAAATAATGAAAATGTTGACATAACGTGAAGAATGTAACCAATGTCACTAATCATTCTGTCTAGAAACTGTTGAATGGGAAGGGGTTTTAATGTATATATTTTCACCAAAAATATTACTAAAAAAAAAAATACACATTTATCTATATACATATATACACACACGTACACACAACAACAAATGAAAGGAGAAAGCAAAACCAACAAACACCATTACCTGTAAGGGAAAAGAGGGAACCTAAAAACTGAAAGCAAAGTGGAAAGAAAAAAGAAAAAGAATTTAACTAGATATTCAGTTGGTGACTAAACCATGCTATTGTTGTTAGGTGCTGCTGAGTTGATCTGCAACTCATAATGACCCATGTGACAGAGCAGAACTGCCCCAAGGGTATTCTAGGCTGTTACCTTTACAGGAGCAGATTGCCAGGTCTTTCTCCCACAGAGCCCCTGGGTGGATTCAAACTACCAACCTTTCGGCTAGCACCCAAGGCACTTAACTACTGTGCCACCAGGTTTCCTCGACTTAACCATAAAAATCCAAACCCACTGCCGTTAATTCCAACTCATAATGACCCTACAGGACAGAGTAGAACTGCCCCATAGTGCTTCCAAGGCTGTAATCTTTATGGAAGCAGACTGCCACATCTTTCTTCTGCAAAGCAGCTGATAGGCTCGAACCGCCCATCTTTCACTTGGCAGCTGAATGTTTTAACCACTGCGTCACCAGGACTCTGTGACTTAACCATAAACCCAAAAAAACCTAAACCCATTGCCGTCAACTTGATTCCGACTCACGGGAGCCCCGGTGGCACAGTGGTTAAGAGCTCGGCTGCTAACCAAAAGGTCAACAGTTCAAGTCCACCAACCACTCCTTGGAAACCCTATGGGGCAGTTCTACTCTGTCCTATATGGTCACTATGAGTCGGATCAACTCTACAGCAATGGACTTCCAGAGAGGGGAATTATTTCGAGTAACTCTAAATACAGTAATTTGACTGCATATCCCTAGTAGGGCAGATTCTACAGACAAAAAAAAAAAAAAAACTGCAAAGAAATCTTAAACTGTTTTCAATAATAACAATACTATCGATACTGCTTTGCTAAACCAAGTATTTGTGTTAATGTCATCAGGAACCACCAAGATTCACAACATAAGAGATCAATATAAAGTCAAATAAGTTAAGTAAAATGCCCGTAATCATAAATTTAAATTGCAGATATTGGTATGTTTTCTCTTAAAAAAAAAAAATACAGGCATTCCAAAATAGGTCACATTCTGCAAAACTACAGAATTACAGAGCTTACAGGAAAAACAGCATTAGAGACTAACCACTCAAAACCTAGGCAACTTTGTAATACGAACCTCAACAACAAAATAATTGGTACCTCAGGAGAAAATCTGGACAGCCCAGAGGACAGCTCAGTGTGGCTGGAGGGGCTGCCTCAGGGGACACTGAAAATTCATAAAAGCAACAGAGTGGAAATGCTGGCTTGCTGGTGCTAAAACAATACAGGAAGTGGAGCTCTGATTCCGTGGGTTCCTGTTAAGGTGGGTACAGGAGTAAGTTCAGCATCCACAAACCTAGAGCCTCCAGCTGGGGGTAAATCCCGAGCTTTTAAATAGTTAGAGGGAAAGGAAAAATATGGCTAGTTGATGAGATAAAGTCCTTTAGACAAAATTCTAGCTAATAAACACAGACGGTATGACAGAATTAGAACATCATCATTTTGCAATCCCTAATGAAATAATGATCTAGACAATAAAAATCAAGGTCAGCTAAAATTATCAGAAGAAAAGCTGACGGGGAACTCCGTAAAGGATGGGTCAGGCCGACAATCCCTAATGGCACAAAAAACAGAATCAACCAAACATTATGTGCCTCCAGATGTGATGCTGCAACAGTAAATAAAATGAAAGAAGTGTAACAGAACTTAAGAAAGCTTCACCAGAGATCAATAAATTCAGTTTTATTTTCTTTAAAGAAACATAAATGATTCTCAAAAACATTATGTTGAGCTAAAGAAGACAGATATAAAAGGGTATATACTATACGATTTTATATGAAGTTCAGCATGATGACTACCTTGGTGGGCAGGAGATCTTCACTGGGAAGAAAAAGGGCACCTTCTGGTGGGATGAAAATGTTCTACATCTTGAGCTGGGTGGTGGTTATATGAATGTATACATATGTAAAATTTCATCATGCTGTAAACAAGATTTGTGCATTTTTCTCTATGTAAATTATGCCTCAATAAAAATTATTAAAAAATAAAAAAATAGACATGCACACATACCACGTACACACAAATTTCATTAGGACTGCAAAGCATGTTTGGACTGTTTGCTGATAACCTCTGAAAAGGACTTTCTTGTGGGGGAGGGCGTAATAAGCAAAAATACAAAGTGAAAATAGCAATTTTAAATTACTAAATTGACATTTTGGTTTTAAATCTCACATGCTTAGGACTCTGTTACTAAACGACAAATTCAGTAGGTATTTTTGGCAAATCAAGGTTCTGAACTTATGAATCTGAGGAAAAGTCAAAAGGGGAAGAAGAAAACTTACACGCTTGTGGATCTCTGAAAACAGGCCCTGATCCTTGGGCCAAGTTCTATGAGACTGGTGAAAATTCATTTGGGAGCAAAATAACCTTCCAATAGGAGGTTTAGGAAAATGGGAACAGAGGAGGCATACCTTACTTTTGGGAGGAAGGCAGAGAGGACCAATAATCAAAGTTTCCAGGGCTCAGTCTGGTGCATAAAGCATGGGAGAGGCAGAATGATCCCTGTGCCCCTGAGAGTGCCATGAAAGTACCTTAGCGAAAGTCAGCAGATCTGAGAAAGCTTTGCAGTTGGGATGGCAAAATTACAGCAGTGACCCGGGATGATGGATGACCAGATACCAAATAGAATTATACATAGAAGATACATGAGGACAAAGATACTCCTAGCCCATGCCTCTGCGCTGCATTAGCCCAGTGCCCTGAAAACCTCCCCTACCCTTCAGCCACTTCAACATAAGCCTACCAAAACAAATACTCAAAATTAAAATCAGGTTCAGTTAAAAAAAAATAAAATTTTTTGAACCCCTGAGTTTATAGCTTGAAATTTGAACAGGCTGGAAATACACCACCACTGTCCCCAAAATACCTTTCAAGAGGAATAAGAAGAACTGAGAATAAGAGAGGCAGTCTCTGAATGTCTTGTTGCCTAGGAAAATTATATAATAATAAAGATGCAGTCTCTGTATTACAGCCGAGATATTACCCAAACTTCTAGGAGTTTCAGAGTTAGTGTAAAAATCCAAAAATAATTATCACCTTGGAGTAGCTTTTTTAAACTTCCATAATACTGAATCTCTTTTTTTTCCTGTCGTAATGTCATATAACAGTTTATAGCTCAAACACATTTAAGCTCATTTTAAGATTCTAAGAACTTACGGAATATCCATTCTGAATGAAACTGCCGGACACCAAATAGGTGACATGTAGTTGGGCTCCTGAATTTTCCTTTCGCTTCCTTTCAACATAATCATACAACATCCTGTTCCAAACAAAAGAAGGCACAAGTAATTCCTTAGTAAGAGTTTTAACCTCATCAACTCTAAATTCATAACTTAAAAGCTAGATATATTAAATTTGATAGTCCATCAAATTTTTTAAACAACAGAATTTTTGCTACATAGGGATCAGTCTATGGACACAGAGTTAAAAAGACAGACTTCAGATGGGATATGGGGATTGGGGTCAATTTATATTGAGTTAGCACAGTAAGTGTCTGAAAGAAACTAAGTCTGACAGGCCAAGAGGGATTAAACCTGCATTAAAACAGTGGCAACAGGATTTAATGGAGAGACAACTAAGTCAAGAGTAAGTTCAGTTACTATCTAACTATGTGATCCAGGATAATTAATTTTCTAGGCCTCTTACTATCCTGAGGTATAAAATGGGAAGGCTGTATTAGATGAGTGATTTTCTTAACCTAGGATCTACATGCCTGTCTATAACCCCCACTCCTAAAACTGTAAGCAAAACGTATATGTACTTTTTTAGGGAGAGATGGTTCAGGATTTTCAATAGATTCTCAAAAGAGTGCATTACTCCAAAACATTAAGAACCACTATGTAGATGATCACAAATGTCCCTTCCAGCTCTGAAATTCCAATTTTATGATCACTCAGATTCAATACTGTTTTGGAACTACAGAATGAACATGGGAATGTTTCTAAAAGCAAAATTATTTCTGCATTGGGTGTTTGGCAATCTCAGGTTAATGAATACTCTGCATACTAGGCAGCTTACTCACACTGCCCAGTATTCATTAACCTGAGATTGCCAAACATCCAGTGCAGAAATAATTTTGCTTTTAGAAACATTCCCAAATTCGTTTTTATCTCTATGATCCAGCAAGTATCAGATGTTGGCTCCTTCCCACTCAATAACTTACAGTTTAAACCTTTCCCCCCTAGAAAAGAAGAGACTTAATCATTTGTCTTTTATTTCAAGAAACATTTACTGAGCCTCTATAACATGTCATAGTTCTGCCAGAGACAGCTAGAAACTCAAAAATTCTAACAGAAACTCAACTTACACTGTCAATCACTTTCTTCTTGAAACATCCATAAAACCATGTCCCACTGAGTCTCCTGCTACGCTTCTAACTGCCTCTTCTCCGTTTCCTGCACAGATATATCTACCTCCTCCCTTTGGTGCTATGTCTTCAACCATCTTTTCACTCTACGTATTAGAGTGACCAACTATTCCAGTTTGTCCAGTTCTGAGACGTTTCCTTGGACGTGGGACTTTCAATGCTAAAACCAGGACAGTCCTGGACAAACTAGGACTGCTGGTTATCAACCTACATATTCTCCTTGGTTTGTTTCATTCATCCCTATAGCTTCTATCTTCGACAACATCATCTGCTCAAATCACTCAAGCCAGAAATCTGGGAGTCATTATCCTTCACTTCTGCCTATCCAGTGAGTTGCCAAATCTCTCAATTCTCCCTCTCAAGGAATTTTTAAAACTGTCCTTGCCAAATCACTTGACTAGACTACTTCAATCCAAGTGTCAATTCTCCTCCCTCCTCCTCAATTCATTATCCACAAAGCTGCCAGTTTTTTAAAATGCAAATCAAGTCATCCAGTCAACAAAAATTTACTGAGTACCTACTTTATGTTCTAGACCTTGGGGATAGAGGAATGAACAAAACAGCCCACGTTCCCACCCTTTTGGAGATTACATTCTAGAAAAGAGATGAAAAATAAGCAAACAAATAAGTAAATATATAATGCCAGATGGTAGTTAAGTCTATGGGAAAAAAAAATAAAGATAAGGAGGACAGACAGTACCTGAAAAATTTTGCTATTTTATGTAAGATGATTAGAGAAGGCCTCACAAGCAGAGCCCTGCGGGAAGGGACGGAGCCATCAATGTTGTTATCTTGGGGAAGAATGTTCCAGGCATAGAGAACAGCAAATGCAGAAGTTCTGAGGCAAGAATGTAAGCAAGATCCAAGGAAGAGAAAGGAGGCCAGTGTGGCTTAAGTGGACTAAGGAAGGAGAGTGTTGGAGAGAGATCGGAGGGGCAGACATGAAGGGCTTTGTGGCTACTGTCAGGAGTTTGATTGAGAAAGGATGCCATTAGAAGGTTTAGAGCAGAGCAGTAACATGATCTCACTTACCTTTTTAGAGGGTCCTTGACTGCTGTGTGGAGAATATACTGCAGAGGGACAAGTGTGGTAGCAAGGGAACCAGTTAGGAGGCTCTTATAATAACCCAGGCTAGAGATGATGGTGGCTTATACTAGGGTGGTAGGAATGAAGGTAGTAAGTAATGGATAAATTCTGGGTCTATTTTAAAGGGAGAAACAACAGGATTTGCTGATACGGGGTATGAGAAAAAGAGAAGTCAAGGATGATTGGACTAAGCAACTCTAAGAATGAAGTTCATTGAGATGGGGGAAAAGCAAAAGAAGCAGGTGCTACAGAGAGAAATCAGGAGCTAGGTTTTTGGGCATGTTAAACCTGAGACGCCCATTACTTATTAAGTGACGCTGAAAATGTAGCTGGAGATTGTTGTCTGGAGTAGTAGTCCCTTGTTTGAAAATTTTTCAGTAGCTCCCCAACTCCTAAGAATAAATTCCAAACCCCTAAAAATGACAGAAAAGATCCTCCTTGTTCTGGCCCCAACATATCTTTCTAGCTGTATCTCTTACCATTCCTCCACAGCCATACTATTTTCAGCTTTATGGAACATTCTGCATTTCCTCTTGCCCCTTTGTATATGCCCCTCCCTTTGTGTGGAATGCTCTTCTCAGGCCTTACCCATCATCCATTCCGCGTCAAGGAATTCCTCATCAGCTCAGTTATCATCTCTATGTGAAGCCTTCCCTAACACCAAGTCAACAGGGTGGCTCCTGCCTCCTAAGCTCCAACAGAATGAATCTTTTATTATAATACTGACCACACTTTAACTACTCAGTTTATATATCTGCCATCCCTACTACTTTAAGGCAAAAATGTGCCCCATTCAGCATTTTGTTGATTTCCCTGCCTTGTTCTCCTGAGAGTTTCCTTCTATGCATCAATTACGTTAGAAGGACAGAAGAGGTAATACAGATTCATCAACATTTTGGCTTATCTACGCTAGTTAAGATCATGCTAGTAAAAGAAATAATAGGCAGGTACCATGCCCAGTGTGCTCTCAAGCTTGCTAGCTGAATGTATTGCCTTTTTATGCATAATTTATACCCTTTCCATTGTCCTCTATGCACGTCTCCCCAAATCAACCCCAGTTCTTCTCTTACATTAACAAGGTCAAAACTGCACAAACTCTTTTTTAAAATAATTTCTACATACTTCTTGAGTCTCTAAGACACGTTCATCTAATTCAATTTATGTCAAAACATTTTATTTTTACCAACAAAATCCATAAAATGTTCTTAAATATGCATAATATATAGGCCTTCTTGCAAGATACACTTCCTGCATATATTAACAATATCTTCCACTTTCATTCATTAATTTTCCCCTATCAGTTCTACCCATAATTTTTCCCCAGAATGAGTATAGTCCACACTGCCTTCCCTCACCCATCCAGTCTTTATCTCCCACATTGTTCAATTTAATTCCTTCACAGTATTTATTACAACCTAAAACTATCTTGTTTAAATCAATGAAGGCAGGGACTTTGTCAGGTTTTCTGTTTTATGATAGAGCCTAAGATAATGGTTAAAAACATAGTAAGAACTCAAAAAATACTTCCGGAATGAAGCCAAGTGTCATGGATTGAATTGTGTCCCCCAAAAATATGTGTCAACTCGTTTAGGCCATGATTCCCAGTATTGTGTGGTTGTCCTCCATTTTGTGGTTGATATAATTTCCCTGTGTGTTGTAACAACATCATGATAAATGAAGAAAAGATTGAAGTTGTCAAGAATTTCATTTTACTTGGATCCACAACCAACACCCATGGAAGCAGCAGTCAAGAAATCAAAAGACACATTGCATTGGGCAAATCTGCTGCGAAAGACCTCTTTTAAAGTATTGAAAAGCAAAGATGTCACCTTGCAGACTAACGTGCACCTGACCCAAGCCATGGTATTACTGAATGTGGTGCAGTGCTTAAGAGTTACGGCTGCTAACCAACGGGTTGGCAGTTCGAATCCAGCAGGCGCTCCTCGGAAACTCTATAGGGCAGTTCTACTCTGTCCTATAGGGTCACTATGAGTCAAAATCGACTCGACGGCAACAGGTTTGGTTTTTTCTTTTTTTTTTTACTACGTGCCAGGCACTGAAAATATAATGCTGTGGCAAACTGGACTTTCCAAAGATGGCTGCAACAGTATCTTCCATCCTACATGCTCTTCTACATCCTCCCATGAAGAGGTGAAATCCACCTCACCCCGTTGAATGTGGGAGGGCTAGTGATTCGTTTTAACCAAAAGAATGAGCTAACATGACACTGCTTGACTTCTGAGGCTAGTCAGAAAAGGCAATCAGCCCCTGCCCTGGTGCTGGAGCAGCAGCTTTTGGAGCCCTGAGTTGCTGTGTAAGCAGTCTGACTATCCTGAGACACCATGCTGTGAAGAAGCCAAAGCCATAAAGATAGACCACGTGCAAGTGCTCCGGTTAAAAGCTCCAGCTGAAGTCCCAGGCAATGGCCAGCAACAAGTGCAAGAGATGGGCATAAAGATACCTACAGATGACTGGCACATCATGGAAGCCAGTCCCACTGTGCCCTATCTGAATTTCAGACAAAAACAATCTACGAACATAATAAAATGGTTAAGTTGCTACATTTTAGGGTAATTTGTTACACAGTAATAGTAATTAGAAAAGCCATGAGCCTGACAGACATGTTCCCTGCCTTCAGGAAACGTATATTCTAGGGGGCAAGACATAGTATAAGCAAGACAATGCCAGACAAGAATAAGATTACGAACTGGTGGGAAAACTGGATATCCACATACAAAAGAATGAAGCTGGACCCTTTCCTTGCACCATTCAAAAAATTAATTCCAAATGGATCATAGAACTAAACATAGGAGCTAAAACTATAAAACTCTTAGAAGAAAACAGAAGTAAATAAATCTTCACGACTCTGGGTTAGACAAACTCAATTTTTAGATACTACATCAAGGCACAAGTAACAAACAAAAAAACAGATATATTGGACTTAGTCAACAATAAAAACTTCTGTGCTTCAAAGGATACCATCAAGAAGGAGCAAAGACAATCCACAGAAAAAGAGAAAATATTTGAAAATCATATATCTGATAAGGAACTTGTATCAGAATATATAAAGAACTGTTAAAACTCAACAACAAAGACAACCTAATTTAAAAACAGGCAAAAGATTTGAATAGGCATTTCTCCAAATGAGATATACAAAAGCCAATTTAAAAAAAAAAAAAAAACTCATTGCCATCGAGTCGATTTTGACTCACAGTGACCCTACAGGGAAGAGTACAACTGCCTCACAGGGTTTCCAAGGAGCAGCTGGTGTGGATTCGAACCGCCAACCCTTTTGGTTGGCAGCCTTAGCTCAAAGTAGCTTTTAACCACTGCGCCACTAGGGCTCCAAATGGCCAATAAGCATATGAAAAGATGCTCAACATCATTAGTCATTAAGAAAATGCAAATTAAAACCACAATGAGATACCATTTCATACCCATTAGAATGGTTTAAATAAAAGACAGATAATAAAAAGGGCTGATAGGGACACCAAGAAATTAGAACCCTCATACTTAGCTGGTGGGAGTATAAAATGGTACAGCTCCTTCGGAAAACAATCTGTCATTTCCTCAAAATGTTAAAAAGAGTTACCATAATAACAAACCCACTGCCATTGAGTCCATTCTGACTCACAGTGACCCTATAGGACAGAGTAGAACTGCCCCATACGGTTTCTCTTTACAGAAGCAGACTGTCACATCTTTCTCCCAAGGAGTGGCTGGTGGGTTCAAATTGCTGAAGTTTCAGTCAGTAGCCAAGAGCTTTAACCACTGCACCACCAGGGCTCCTTTGTATCTCAATAAAGCTGTTAAAAAAAGAATTATGGAAGAAATTAAAAGGATGATATGACAGAGAGTTAGGGAGGGATTGGAATACTTGAAAATAGAGCATTAGGGAGGACTTGTTAGAGGAAGTAATGTGTGAAATTTGAGCTGAAACCTGAAAGAAAAGGATACCTAGGAGAAGAGCATTCCAGGTAAAGGGAACAGTGCAAAGATCCTAGGGTGAGAATGAGCTTGGCATATCTGAGGAACAAAAAGGCAAATATGGCTAAAGTATAAGTGAGGTAGAGAGTGATACAGGATGAAGTTGGGTAGATAGGCAGGGGCTAGACAATGTGTTAATGCTATAAAAAATATAGATCATCAGGGTAGCTACTATAAGATTGCAAGCAACTTTATTTCACCTTCAGGGAACTCCAGTCTTCAGTCATGCATTGTTAAACCTCCAAGCCTTATATTATAACAGCTATCTCATTTCATACTTAAACATGCATAACCACAATGAACAATAACACTAATAGGTGTCCATTTCCACAGTTACCTGAACCTGTTGGGTGTGGACCAGAACTAGTCTTAGCAACAGCCATCTCAGACAGTCAAAACCAGTCCAAATCCATCCCTGGGCCAAGAGTTTTAGGTCTCAAAGGCATAAACATCATAGTCAAAATCAGACTCCTAGACCTGTCAAACAGCAACCCAAACAAAGCCAAATCAACCCATTCTAGAAAGCAGGGGTTTTCTAAGACTTACAGATCATTCCTATGACTCTAAGAAAGTTCCTATAGAGAAAAATTAGGCCACCCTTAGGAATAAAACAAACTAAATGGGTATTTAACCCTATATATATATATATATATAGTGATGAACAGCCTGAGGAGATATATATCTCCTCCCTTTCAAACACAGACAACATCTGCACATTTTTCTGGTCAAAAAAATGTTTAAGTTAATTCAAAAGCTTGCCTTTTCACTTCTGGCCTCAAGATGGACTACTACTTTCAGCAAGGAAAGGTGACATGGCAAAATTAAAGGAGGGCAATACTCTGCACCATCCTTTTTTAGTTACATTTAAATAATCCTCCCATCTTACACTGTTACACAGCTTGTGTCAAACACCTGTTGACCTCATTACAGAAGTGTTTCAACAGCGTTCAGAGATGGGCCTAAGGAGCTTGTGTGAAAATGTAATGGAGATGTAAGCTAACAAACATATAAACCTAAGATGTAAACAGAATTGGCTGCCCCGTTTAATAAATTCAAAATAACAAAGTCATTCTAGCCAGAGGGTAAGATTATAAATAACTCCAGAAAATTTATCACCACATACTTGTGTACCAATCCACTTATCTCCTAAAATAAACAAAAGTAGTAAAAGTTAGTAAAAACAGTATTCTTTCCCATTTGCCTGGGGGGGCGGTGGGGTGGGGGACAGCTCTAAACTAGAGACTACCTGTACAGTTAAAAACAAAACAAAAAACTCCAATGTGATTAAAATTAGTAGTAAATTGGACTTACTGTTTGGCCTGGTTAACATGAACTCCTAGTGTATAGCTCAGCCATTTGTATGTCACCTGCAAGAAGAAGCAATTTTTTAAATGTTTTATTAGATGACTCCAGAGCACAGATTAGTCCCAGGGGCCTACTCCTAAAGAGATGATTATGCCTTATAAATTATGATAGCTGCCACCCCAGTTTGCCAAGCAGCATTTATTTGGTCAGGAAAGATCAGGATATTTACCTTACAAATACTAAGAAGCTTGTTTCACAGACTATTTAGCACAAAAAAGGCTTTTTTTAAAAGGCTGAATATATACAGAAAGAAAAAGCTCTCCCTTTTTTCTCACACTCCTAGTTTTATTAAGACTCCTCTTCACATTCTGTCGTTTTCCGGGACCACCAGCCAAAACTATCCTAAAACTCATCCAGAAGTTGGATTACTTTGAAGTATATGACTCAGTAACTTCTATGTAGGCTACAAACATTAAAGGGTACAGGTGGTACAGGGGTCAGGGAACAAATGAATAAACTAGACGAATATTATACCAGAGGATAGACTGGGGAAGAACTGCCATCTTCCATCCTTCCTTGATTCAGTATGTCTGTCACCCTCTTCTCTCAAAGTCTATTCCAATTCTAAATGCTGAGCTTACAATAGTCATAAGACCCACACAGGTTAGACAAAGGCAGTGTAATGAAGAAGAACGCATTCACGGAAGAGACCTAGGTTCGAAAACTGTCTATTCCTTACTAACCACAAATAACTAAGTTACTTTGCCTCCTCTGCCTCAATGTCCTCTTCTAAGGATACTACCACCTACCTCTGAATGGGTTACCGTAAAGATTAAATGCAGTGTGTGTCCAAAGAGCCCTAACTCACATTCAAAGTGCATTCACATCCATCGTCTCACTGTGTCGTTTACATCAACGCTGTGAGGAAAGCCAAGCCTCTAGCAATACCCAGAGTTTTAGGAAGAGGAAAATGGCTGTAGGGAGGTTAAACTTGTCACTTAAGCTGGTTAAGACACAAGTTCTTCAACTGCAGAGTTACGGCTTTAAATGCCAACCACCTTGTAAGGTTTAAGTGTAGGAGACGCCTTAGAAATATGCTTAGCCAACGCGCCTCCCTCTGAGACCCCCGTCTGGTGCACAGTCCCCAGCACACCCAACCAAGCGGCTTGGAATAGCGCGCGCGCCGGAGGGCCTCTCCGGCGAGCCTTCGCGAGCCCTCGGGCACGAGGAGTGGGGACCTGTCTCCCCTGAGCCAGACCTCACGAGGCCACAAGAGGAGGGGGTCAAGGCCCAGCGCAGCCTTCGCCGGGCGTAGGACACCAGTCGCCGCCCCCATTCCCTAGCCCTAGCTTCTCACGATCTTGTTTTGATCCATGACGAATTCGTCTATATTCTCCAGATAAAGCTGGTCCGCCATAGTGCTGCAGCTCTGGGCACCGCCGCCTGCGAGACCCTCTCACCGCCACAGTCGCAACTCCCGCCGGCGGGAAACGTCGTCGCTCTCTACCTCCCAGGTCTGGGGTCGTTTCCCACGGCAACGGAGGAGACGCACTACGGCGGCCGTCTGAGGGTCAAACTACTTCCGGAGACGGCGCGGACTGAAGTACTTGACGCAGGTAGGACGGGTCGGAAGGGAGGAACCCGGGAGGGGAGGCGTGGTCTGGGAGAGTCTGTATAACAAACCTTGGGTTGGAATCCCACTTCTGCCACTTTCTGACTGACCCTGGGCAAAATATCTCAGTTCTAGGAGCCACAGTCATTCCACCTGTAAATTGATAAAATAATTCATGCCCTTTCATGATTTTTTTTAAAAAAATATTGATTATTAAGTACCTATTATATTTCAAAGGAGCCCTGGTGGTGCAGTGATTAAGCCTTAGGCTGCTAACCAAAAGATCTGCAATTTCGAACGCACCAGCCGTCCTGCAGGAGAAAGACGTGGCAGTCTGCTTTCCAAAGATGCAGCCTTGGAAACCCTATATAGGGCAGTTCTACTCTGTCCTATAAGGTAGCTGTGAGTCTCAATGGCAAAACGGGTTTGAGTATTATATTTCAGGCACTTCTTAGGCACTGGGGAAACAACAGTGAACCACAAATACAGAGAATTAAACAATTTTGGGACAGAGTGGTACTAGCTTCGATAAAGTACTGTCTGTTATAATCCCTCAGAATTGAGAAACTAGGAAAGGTTTTCCAGGTGAAATGAGCGAGGGGGAGTGTTTCAGGTAGAGGCAGGGACGGATTGTCCAATAAAAAAACCAGACAAGATAAACTCGGTGTTTACCTTGCTTACCAGATAATCTGTAGTGAATAATTTCACATTTTTTCACCACATCCAACATCCTGCTTCTAGGTATGTCTGGCATCTGTCTCTCTCCCAACCCCACAGCACCTTCCTACAGAATCAAAGCCTCTTTTCAAATTTGCAATCTCTAATAGGGGGTATTACCCAATAAACAAGGTATGTTGTATGGATATTGGCTGAAAGCAGAGAATACCAGAAAGATGTTTACTTGTGTTTTGTTTACTATGCAAAGGCATTCAACTGTATGGATCATAACAAATTGTGGATAACATTACGAAGAATAGGAATTACAGAACACTTAATTGGGCTCATGAGGAACCTGTACATAAACCAAGAGAAAGTCGTTCAAACAGAACAAGAGGATACTGTGTGGTTTAAAATCAGGAAAGGTGTGCATCAGGGTTGTATCCTTTCATCGTACTTATTCAATCTGTATGCTGAGCAAATAATCCAAGGAGCTGGACTATATGAAGAACGCTGTATCAGGACTGGAGAAAGACTAATTAACAACCTTCAATATGCAGATAACACAATCTTGCTTGCTGAAAATGAAGAGGACTTGAAGCACTTATTGATGAAGATCAAAGACTACAGCCTTCAGTATGGATTGCATCTTAACATAAAACAAAAATCCTCACAACTGGACCAATAAGCAACATAATGGTAAACAGAAAATTTCGAAGTTGTCAAAGATTTCATTTTACTTGAATCTGCAATCAGTGCCCATGGAAGCAGCAGTCAAGAAATCAAATGACGTAGTGCATTGGGCAAATCTGCTGCCAAAGACCTCAGTAAAGTGTTAAAAAGCAAAGATGTCACTTTGAGGACCAAGGTGCGCCTGACCCAAGCCATGGTATTTTCAATTGCCTCATGTGCATGGGAAAGCCGGACAATGAATAAAGAAGACCAAAGAATTGATGCCTTTGAATTATGGTGTTGGTGAAGAATCTTGAATATACCATGGACTGCCAGAAGAACGAACAAATCTGTCTTGGAAGAAGTACAGCCAGAATGCTCCTTAGAAGTGAGGATGGCGAGACTTCATCTCATGTACTTTGGACATGTTATCAGGAGGGACCAGCCCCTGGAGAAGGACATCATGCTTGGTAAAGCAGAGAGAAGGCCAGGGTCAGCGAAAAAGAGGAAGACCCTTAATGAGATGGATTGACACGGTGGCTGCAACAATGGACTCAAACATAGCAATGATTATGCGGATGGCGTGGGACAAGGCCGTGTTTCATTCTGTTGTGTATAGGGTCACTAGGAGTTGGAACCAACTTAACAGCACCTAACAACAACCTAACATTCCTTCAGGATGAGACTTGACATCAGTGCGCAGTGTTGAGAATAAAAGCAGTTCTCCAGAAACTAGAACAATCAACCAACCAAAGTATCTGCTAACCAAAGGAGGCCAGACAAAACTGTTGGGAATGCCAGTGTCAGGTGATAGCGGCAGTGGGAGCTATAGGATCAAGACTCTACAGAGTCTGAGTCTCAAAAAAGAACCTAAGGTTGGTGTTAGAAATGGAAGCCTGGCCCTCCCCTTTCTTCCTCTCCGTCCCTACTTTATCCCAGAAATTATTGGCACCGGAGAATCTGATGGTCCTGACATGGCATAGGGTGGGAAATCTAGATAGGGCTCAATATCAGATTAGGGATGAAAAGTGGTCAACCTACATGCAAACAGGAACCCAAGACTCAGGGTAGGTAAGGCGGCTAGGCCTCTGACCGAAAAAGGGGATCTGTGGAGCAACCCAGGATTCCCACCAGCTAGCTGGGCTTTCGGGCTGCCATAGGTCTCTGGCGGATAGCATTCTAGGCAGGGTAACAGGTCGGAACCAAGAAGTACAAGATTAAGAGTTATGACTCAGTGGTCACATAACTATCCAAGTGTCATTCCAGAGTCCCAGAGGCCCAGGACTTACTGACACCAAGGATTTTAGTCATTTGATCATTCATTCATTCAACAAACATCACTAAAGGGCTGCTGTGTACCAGGCCCTATGTGACTAATGGGAACACATCATGGTCTTCGTCTCTGGAAGTTTACAGTCTCTGTGGAGGGTCAACAGCAATACAGTATTAAGGAAGCACAGGGTGCCATGGAAACCTGGAGGAGGCACCTAACGCAGCCTGAAGATCAGAGGAAATACGGGGAAAGCTTTGGACTTGGATATACAGGGCTAGACACCATGTAATCCCTTTGCTTACTTTAGGCAAAATATATCAGAAGTGTATTCCAAGTATTGTCATTGTTATAGTTTTAAACAACACACAACAAGCCTGTATTTTCCTCTTTTATGAGAAGATGTGTATCTTGTATAGACTGTCTTGTGGAATGTACAGCCTCCTCCGAGGCCAGGACACACCAACTTCCAGGTGTGCTTATTCTAAAACCTTATCAGTTCTATAAGAATCAATGTAAAATCCTTCATTTACCGAAACAAAGTAGGTGAGCCAAGATGAGAGAACACTCAGACACTGGTTCTCCTGTTTCACACCCATGGCTACCCCATCCTACCCCCGGAAACACTCACACCCCTTTTAGCCTGCTGATTCCTCAGCTCAGTCACCAGAAGTTCACACTTCTACCTTTGCTGACTTAGACTTTCAGAAAATGACCAGGAGGACCCCCACCCCCACCCACATACTGCAGTTGCTTTGTATATTGTTTTCCTTTCTCTCTTCTCTTGGGGGCTGGGAGAGTGTTTTGGAGTGATGATGGTGAAAGTGAAAATAACTGGAAATTGGTTATGAGAATTTTTCTCTTAACTGCATCATTCCTGAATCTAACAAGTATGGAGCGTGATGCTCAGGGATAAAAAGAAGCTTATTATCCTACCCTCAGAGATCATTGCTCTCTGGGCAGCAAACACCGCTGGTCAGGAAAGCTTCCTGAGGAAACGTCATGTAGGCTCAGCTTGAGTAGTGAGCAAAGTAGGGGAAGAGGCCATTCCAGACACAGTCTTGATGGGCTGGGCTGCTCTCTTTGCCTCATTGTTTATCTCTGTCTCCTGGTACCACTGCTTCTCTCTCTATGACTTTTCTGTTTTCTTCTTTGGTTTAACCACAGATTCTACTTCCTCATATTTTTAATTAAAACAGCTGTAGGTTGCCATGGTTGCCATGGCTCATCTCAACTTTTACCTCCAGCTTTTGCCCTGTCAATAACTTCAGATTTTCTCAACAATTCCCCATTTTGTAATTCCTAAATTAATGAAACTGATTGGCTTAGCGTATCTTTTTATCTCTGATTATCAATATGTTTTTTCAGAATACTGAACAGCCAGATGGACAGGTTCCTCATTCATTCATTCTTCAATTGTTCATTGAGTTCCTTCTATGTGGTACACTACCAGACATAAACCGAAAGCAATTGCACTGATTTAAAAAAAAATACATATACATATGTGTATATATATATATATATGAACTACAATAGAGTGCAAGAGACATATGGCCCTGGTTGGAGACAGATAACTTAATAGACAGTTACAAAACCATGTCATAAGAGAAGAAAGGAATAGGATTCACCCAACTGGAGATGTTCAGTAGGCTGTGGGTTATGTCTGTGCTTAGACACAGATTTAGATTGGAGATCCACAGCATATATAGATGATCACTGAGGCCATGAGAGGGGATGAGATCACCCAGGGAAAGCTGAACCCCAGGGAACATCAGCAGTTAAAGAAGACGGGCCTACAAAGGGAACTGAGAAGGAGAAAGAGCTCTAGGGGAGTGCAGGGTGGAAACAAAAGGAGAAGTAAGTTTGAAGGATGGAGTTATCAACAGTGTCAAACGCTTCCCCCAAATGGTGTTAGATAGGGATTGAGAGAAATGCAATGGATTTGGAATTGGGAGGCGTCTGGTGACCTAAGCCAGAGGAGTAAGAGGCACAAAAGTCAGATTACGGTTAATTAAGGAATGAGGAAGAGTGAGAAGAGGAACTGAAGACATCTAGTGGAGACAACTCTGGGCAGTTAATTCTGTGGAAATGGATAGTAGGTGGGGGTGAGTGTGGTCATGAAGTTCATAATATGACTGCCTAAGCAATAGGATTGGAGGTGGTGGTGGGTGTTTCTCTTAGAAAAAAGTATGACAGGCATTCTGGGGTCTCTTCCACCTGGAATATCCACAGTCAGGGTTGCCTCAGAAACTGCAGACCTGAATTTGCAGGAAGGCATGCGGTAAAGCCTCAGTTCCCATGGAATCAAAATTCTTCAAAGGTCTTTT